TCTTGATTGATTTAAATAGGTCAACTAAATTAGATTTTCCTTACGAGCAGTACCCACTTTTTGATCTAGACGACATGCAAAACGACGAGTGCTTGGCGGAGTTTAGGTTCCATAAAAACGACCTTCCTTTTCTGGCAGAAGTTTTAGGGATCCCTGACCAGTTTATCTTGGAACAAAGAAGTGTTGTCGGAGAAATGGAGGCGCTTTGCATGCTGTTGAAGAGGCTGACATACCCGTGTCGATACAGCGAAATGATGCACAGGTTCGATACACAAAAGGAGGATCATACTTCAATAAATATAGTCGTTTTCACGTCTAGCAACTTATCTCAGCATCCTTAATTATTTGGGTTTCATTTTGTTGTTACTTGGAGATGAAAATCATCCGCAAGTTTTAAAAGAAATTATAAGCTTTTAAAATTTAACCCTTCCGATCTTTGTTGAATCATATCGATACCTGTGGGAAAATGAATACGCCGCACAAATGTTACAGCAATTCTTAAGCAAACTGAACTTGCTAAACATATAATTTAAGGTTGGAAGTAGTTACTTTTCTCGATGCAAAGGCAAAAAACGATTGAAATGTTTAAAGAACACTCATCAAAAACTCCCGTAGTCGGTACTACGTCAAAGTACTCTGTTTACCGTACTGGAGAAGCCCGCTACGGCGGGTGGACAACGAAGGCGATACTCGCGCGTGTGTAGAAGTGTTTAACTTCATTTCCGGTTCCCGTAGCCGTCCACAAAACCGTCGGTGCTAAAAGTCCCTACAGTTTCTCCCAATACGGACGGTTCATTGTGCGACCCTTGCGTTTTTTGTGCTACAAACGCAGAGGCCTTCTTTCCCGGCTCTCGAAATAAACGAGTCATTCTTGATTCGTATTAAAACGAATTCTATTTTCTATATAGTAAATCATTTATCGATCAAACTTGTTCGGTCAAGATGGCTGTATATTAGCCTCGTTCTTTTTTTGCCTTTCTATGGATCTCGACTTCGTCTCGGTCCATAGAAATGCGAAAAAGGACTCGGCCAATACCCAGCCATCTTGATCTCACCCTTGGTCAATAACGCATACGTATCGCTCAAGACAGCTCAGATAGAAAAGGACTGGATTGGTGCCCTGCTTCCGGTAGTCTCCTACACAGCAGTTGTTTGGTCTCGTCACGCAACGCGACCAAACAGCAGCCCGCTTGCAAGCTAAAATTGTGCTAACTGCCGTTCCTTCGTCAGAGATAAAATCAAAATCATTCCATTACAGCTGATTGTTTCAAAAGTACTTTTCCTCATAATTTTGCGGTGGAAGGCAAACCGAAACTTAAATTTATCTCTGATAGCCCCTAACCAAAGATTTGGCGGTATCCGTTCTTTGAACGATTGAATATAATGAACGAAGAAAAGAGTATCATATTTCAAAGGCTTTTTATTACTACACCAATATGTCGAAAATTAAGGTTACCCGGGAGTCTGAATAAAAATCAAAATTAGAATTCTCAGGATTACTTTTAAAATAAGTTCCTGTTAACGTTGTTTTCGAATTTTTCAGATGTCTGTTCTAATTACCCAGAGACAGTTATGGTCAACTCTGGACTGGATGCAACACTTTTCTATAATAGATCAACTTATGAGAATGAGAATGATTTCAGGGGGTATCGTGCTGAGAAAAATTCTCTCCAATTTGCTCACATGACTAAAAATGAATCAAAAGGTGCTTGTTCTGCCCCACGTTCGGATATTTGTGTGAAACGGAAGATAGAGTTTCAGAAGGATAACCAAACGCATTTGTTGCTGGTGAAGATCTTCAACACGACAGTCAATGATAGCGGAATGTACGTAGTCTGGGCCAGATTTAGTAGTAGTGAGAAGCTCCATCCAAACGAGAAAACAGCGAAATGCTTAAAAGTGATACATGTGAAAGTAGAAGGTAAGGAATGCATATTTGTTATTTATGTCGGGAGAGAACCATGGATTGTTGAAAGGCAGTCTATGACTGCATATGCCTACTGTTGTAATACTTGTTGAGTAGATTGCAGCAAAAAAGCAATGTGGTGTAAAATGTAGAGTGGTTAATGAACAGCTCTTGTCGATGCCAAACTTGTGACAAAAGGAGGACTTGGTTAGAGCAGAGTTTGTACACAGGCTGGGTAGGAAATTAATTAGTATAGATACATGTATTAGTTGTACATCAAGTGTACTTCAATAAGAAAACTTCGCCATCTTGTACGCTCTGCGTACCTGGCACCCGCGTACCTATGCACTCCTCTTGAGTCCGAATGTATAAAGTTTGAGCCCTGGCTGTACCAGCCCTTATTTTTAACATATATAATTATGGCCGAATATAACAGGTCCCTGGCAAGGGTTTAATGGCGTGACCGTCACTTTGAAAGCAAGGCAACAATTGCATGGTGAAAGATAAAACAAGGAACTCCAGAAACCCAGGAAAGGATTGCAAGGGTATAGCCAGGGGGGGGTCCTGGGGTGCCCGTGATCCCCCCTTGGTAGGCCTTCTTTAGAGAAAACAACCTAAAATATTCAGGTGGCGAAAACGCCATGACAATATCTTGGCTGTAAAAGCCATTGTTGAAAAGCCCACTTTTTTAAAATGAGCCTTCATGCCGCGATAATACGACTGTAACGGCAGGCGAACATCAAGGCCGAATGTATCGCCGAGAAAATCGCGACCGGAGAAAAATACCAGAACGGGTGGAACTTTACAGAGACCGAAGCGACATTCACATCACATTTATTAATTGATTTCGTAAACTGAAATAAACAATGAAGGACTAGCGTAAGGCAGTTGCACAAACAAACGTTACAAGGCACTAGCGATCGACAAATGAAAACCCTCAGAGGCAACAAAATAGAACTAAACAGGTTAAATGCAAACAACCAGAAACGAGCGAAACTATAGAACTAATATAAAGAAGTCGACTCAGATATCCACGCGGCCACGAGGTCGCGGTACGTAAAATCACAATGATCACACATAAAATGAATAATATATTAATTGAACAGCGAACTGGGCTAACCACAAACAATAAGGATAAATTACGATGAAACGAACTTTCATATCTGTCCCGCGACACCGTAGGCCTTTATAATCTCTTTTTGTAGACCACAGCAAAATATGTCTACTCCACACACACGCTCCGCACGTACTAAATCAATCACATCCAAAAATAGCTAAAGAACCTAACTGTAACGTAAAGCACTGTCACGCAAGTGACGCGTGTAACTGTAACTTAAAGCGCCGTCACGCAAATAACGCGCATCAACAACGACTGAGCCCGCTGGTACACGCGGGAGAGCAGCGGTGTAAATGGTAAGTAGCCTCTGTGACCCCCCTTTTAATATTCCTGGCTACGCCCCTGGATTGTGTTTCTTCAATAATACTGATAGATGTAGCTAAGCTGAAAAGGGTCTAGCGTCAATTTAAGTTTTTAATAACATTAGTTTCCCAGCAAAATTACCGCCTTCAAAATGTTTGGCAATGAAAGGTTTACATGATATCTTAAGCTTCCGCCATGTTTTCCTCGCACCGC